GCTACTTTCCGGACATCGCTGGGGACACCTCTCTGCCTCAGGAAATGGTGCAAAATGGGCCCGATGACTTTCTGGCTCTTGGGGAGGCCAGAATTGGACATGGTGTTGTCAGACCCTCTGGATGACGGTGGTAGGGAATGGGCGGGGGACAGCAGCACCGTGTTTTAATGATAATAAATATTTATTGAATGTGTCTCTAGCGCTGTTCACCTCTGCTAGGCGATCTGTAAAGATAAAAACATGCCCACTGTCCAAAAAAAGGGAAACCGAAGAGAAAAACACGCTTCTCCTCGTGAATGGCATGAACCGGAAATTTCCGGTATTTACTGATTTCATTGGGCAGAGCATGTCACACGGCTCCTTTCCGGCTGCAAGGGTGACTGGGAAATGCAGTCTTCTGATGGGCCGTGGGCTTTACTAAAACTACTTCTAATACTAGAGGAGATGGAGAGAAAAGAGAGTGGGGGCATTTAGCAGTTCCGGCTGCAGCGCTTTTGGGGGCAGGGGTGTGTGGCGAGTGTGCCTGATGCCCTCAGCAAGGCCGGGCTCAGATTCCACTGTGTGATTTGGGGCAAGTGTCTTCACCTCTGCGCCTCTCCTTTCTCAGTAGTGGGTTTGATTCCTGTGTTTCAAGGTCATCCGTGAGTTGTTCCTAACACTACAACACCAGGGACAGTGTAAGGGCGTATTAGCTGCATGCTTGACAGGGAGGGGATTCATCTTTTCTTGAGAATAGAATTTGTCGAGCACTCACCACTTCACGATTCTGGGGGCTTTAAAAATCTAAGCATATTTTAATCTCCCCAAACGACTTCCGGGGGTAGAAGCTTCTATGGTTGGGCCCATTGTCCAGACGGGGAAAACTGAGGCCCAAAGAGGTGAATTCTGGTCTCAAAAGTCATGGCTTGGATCTGGGGAGATTACAATTGAAGAAGCCAAACTTCCCAGGAAGGCGAATTTGGGTGGGCTGAGCCAAATAGCGGGAGGCCCCCTTCACCCAACTGTCTGATTTGCACATTGACTTTGCATGCCCTTTCCTGCCGCCCCCAAGGGCAGGCCTGGTATGATTCACCCAGGCTGTCATTCCCACTTGCTTTTAGTGGCTGACTCAGATTTTGTGACGGCTCTGCTCCCAGCCTCCAGAAAGATGAAGTGAAACCTGGGTGAGGAAAGCCTGAGATAGGGTCTGGGGTGCGTGGGGCAGGACGGGGTTTCGGAGGTAGGAGCCAGCTGCACATCGAGACAGTGGCAGGGGATATGTGGCTCATCTGACCAACATGGATGGAGGGCCTGCCAGGATCTTCCCAGGCAGTGGGTGTAGTTGGAAGTCGGGGAGAGGGGAGTAGTGAGTGAGTCATCAAATAAGGAAGCAAGATAACAGGGCCAGGTGATGGGAGTGTCTCAGGAGAGGGACCTTTGGCCCAGGTGCCAGAGCGGGCCTCTCTGAGGGCGTGGTGTTGAAGCCAAGGTCTGGAGGAAGAGAAGGAACTGGCTATGGAAAAAATCGGGTGGGCTGGGGTGGGGATGATCCGGGCAGAGGAAACAGCCAGTGCAAAGGTCCTAGGGCAAGCCATGTTTGACCTGTTGGAGGAACAGCTAGGAGGCCCTTCTGGTGGGAGGGGAGGGCGGGAGGGAGGAGTCTAGGAGAAGCAGGTCGTGTACAGCCTTGTGGCCTTGTGGGCTCCATGGAGGACTTGGATCCCGCTGCTCCCCCACCCCCCACCCCCCACCAAGGGAGGTGGCTGCCTGGAGATCTGGGTGCTGAGAAGGGCCAGGACCTGACAAAGGTGCTCACAGGCGCCCTCTGGGGGCTGCTGTGGGAAGGACAGATGGGGCCAGGGTGGCAGCTAGAGGACTAGGGCAGATGGGCTTATTTCATCCTCCCAACAGCCCCAGGAACTGGAGACTATCATTGTCCCCGATTTACAGAGGAGGAGACAGGACCAGAGAGGTAAAGTAACTTGTACAAGGTCACACAGCACATAAGTAACCATCAGGAGCGGGAGGAAGAGCCAGAGGTCTCTATTCTAGCCCACACAGAAATGGAGCAGCCTGTTCATTCATTGTCTTAATTTTTAAATTCTTTGAAATATTCTTGCTAATTTCATTATGTGTTAATTCATGGTTTCTCCACCACACCATGCCCACCCTGAGAGGGCTGGGGACAGATCTGTCTTGGTCACTGTGGTGTTTTCAGAAGCCGGCACAGGGCATGGTCCGTGTTAAATGGGTGGTAATTTTGATAATTATTGAGCACCTGCTGAGTGTGAGCCTGTGGGGGACGATGGGTACACAGACCCGTTACCTGCAGTGAGTGAGGAGAATGTCGATTCATCTATCCGCTTAGCCAACCAACATTTATAGGGGTTCTATTGTGCAGGCCCTGAGGGCACAGTGATGGCTGAGTGGTCACCCTGGAGGTGACCCGGACAATGCTGTTCTGTCCGTTCAGTGTGTATGGCCCAAAGCCAGAGACAGACTGTGATGGGGAAATGTAGACGGCGGCTGGAGCCCCAAAGGGACCCTCGGTCAGCCGGGGGGAATTGAGAAGCTTCTGGAAGGAGGAAGTAAGCTAAGACCTTAGGAATGAGCCGGGGCCTGGGAAAAGAGCACCGCAAATGCCTGAGGGGAGGCCATGTAGGATATGGCAACTCCAGGCAGGAGGGCCGGTTTCCCAGAGTTGGAGTTCAGCTATCATCCCTGTTTCACCAGCGCCCCCTGGTGGCCACCGTGGGCCTGGTCCCCTCTGGGCCAGTCTAAAAAAAAAAATAAGGAAATTCTCTTGAAAATTTTCCCCTTTAAAAACTGTAAAATGTGAATAAATAACAGATGCTTGGCTTTGGAGGTCGGTACTGGGTCCCTGCTTGGAACGATGTCTTTCCCAGACAGTTAGATAGTTTACGGATGTTCTCCCACCCCGGGCCCACAGGAGCTTCACCCAGTTCACAGCACATGCACAGCTGTGGCTTGGCTGGGGCAGAACGGGGGACAGGAGGTGGGCTGCCTCTGAATCTCACAAATTTATGTATTCAGCCCAGTCTGGTGAGACACAGCGGAGGCGACAGACCTCCTCCCCCCCGCCCCCCACAAGCCTCCCCAGTCATCAGTGTAGCACTGCACACAAACGCACAATCAACAGATGTGTGTTTAAGTTTACGTCCTGTTGAACAAGGAATACATTCTCATGGTTCAAAATTCAAAAGACACCAAAGAGGATCTGGATAAAGTTGCCCTCTCTCCCCTATCCCCAGCCACCCAGTTTCCCATTTTGGAGGCTCTATTGATCTGTATTCAACCCCTGCTCTAAGAGTGTGTTCTCCCTGCAGCAGCCAGAGGACCCCTCTGAGCACCCAAGTCGGGCCATGTCTCCCCTCTGCCCACAGCTCCACCTACTCTCTCAGGTTTGGCTCAGTGAATAGAGCATCAGCCTGAGGACTGAAGGGTCCCAGGTTCGACTCTGGTCAAGGTCATATGCCTGGGTTGCGGGCTCGATCTCCATTAGGGGGTGTGCAGGAAGCAGCCAATCAATGATTCTCTCTCATCATTGATGTTTCTATCTCTCCCTCTCCCTTCCTCTCTCAGATAAATAAAAATATATTTTTTAAAAAAGAAAAAGTCCAAACCTTCCCAGAGGCCCACAAGACCCTGCAGGACCTGTTCCCATCCCCCTCCCTGCCCTTACTTTCTCGCTCTCTACCCCTCACTCACTCCACTCCAGCCACACAGGCTTCCTCACTAACCCTCCAACCTACAAGGCCTGGTCCTGCCCCAGGGCCTTTGCACAGGCTATTCCCTCTGCTTGAAATGCCCTGCCGCCAGAAACCTCCATAGCTCCCTTCTCACCTCCTTCAGATCTTTGCTCAAATGCCACCCTCTCAGTGGGGTCTTCTCTGAGCACCCCATTTAAAATTCATTTACAGTTGCACCCACCAGATCCCCCTGACTCTGGTCTATCTTTCCATGACACTTCGCACTTTTGGACAAAATAAGTCACTCATTCATTGCCCACATTGTCACCTGCCTTCTCCATGAGGATGTGAATTTTGTCTGTTGACTGCACTGCTGGATCCCAGTGCCTGGCACACAGGAGGAGCTCAATAAATGAATGCGAATTATGTTTAAGTCTGTTTTATCTTTAAAACATCCTCTTGCTTCCATGTTTCCTTCCTGCCTGGTGGCAGGCAGTGCATTCATGTATTCATTAAACAGTATATGCTGAGCACCTACTGTATACCATGTTGGTTTCGGATTCAGGGGATACAGTGTTGACTAAAGCAGACTGTTCCTGGCCTCCAGGCTCACAGTCCTGTGAGGGAGTCAGGCATAAGACTAGGTGGTTACAACTTGGGTAGTCCTGGTGTGATGGGCACACAGAGGTTTCTAGGGGTGTCAGGGAGGGTTCCTGCGGACGGAGAGGAGCCAGTGTGGTTGACCTGGGCACAGGACATGTGTCTCCCTGGCCCAGGTGCTTCCTTTGTGTGGACTCAGGTGAGGCGATGAGCACTCATGGCCACCAGGTGGCGCTGACGGCCAGTGTTTTCCAGCCTCTCCTGCTTCCTGCTCAGGGCGGGGTGGGAGTCTCCTCCCAAGAGAACCCTGAGGGGCAGGGACCCCCAGAGAGCGCCCCTTCTCCTGGCTTACAGCCTCCCTAACGCGGCAGCCCAGCCGGGTCTTTGGGAATCATCAGTCTAATGCTGTTGGGGACCAGAGAGGGCAGACACATGCCTTAAGTCACAGAGCAGGTCCCACCCCCGCCCAGCCCACACAGTCCCTCTGCCCAGCCCGGAGCGCCCTTGGGTGGGGACCTTTTATTTTTAACTTGGTCAGTGGACACGGCCTTATTATAGCCCTGGGAGGCGTCCAGGGTTTCCAATTTCCAAGGG